GTAATATCATACTTTAGAACGATCGACTCTCTCGGTCGACTGGCGCAAAACGGAGCGAGTCGCAATCACACATTCCCCAACAAGGACGAGAACAGAATAATCATTTCAGGATAGTAGGCCTACCTATGAGATTCAGCGATGTGATTCGGCCGCTGCAAAGAGGCCTCTCTCCTCCTCATTGATGAAAAGTGGTCGATTTTTGTCGGTGGAGCCGACATTTCACCACTCGACAGCATAACACTCCACTCGCCTCAAAACCCTTCCCGGTCGGAACGAAACGAAGTTTGAGGAATCCGCGTCGTCGAGCGACACCTGCGCCACGACTCCCGCAACTCCGATCGACCCTTCCACCGACAGATGTCGGAGCCATTCGCAGGAACCTCCCAGTCGGATGCACCTAGGCACCGAGACCGGAGTCGCGCGAGATGCCTCCGCCCCTCAAGTACGGAATCAATCCTTTCACCGTGGAGATTCCCACCTTTTTACATGTGTATCCATTAAGTATAATTACGGTGGAGACGCACAACCGGTCATTAGCGAATTATATCCCAAGCCGGAGAGCGGGTTAGCAAAAGATGAATGGGTTCGCAGCCCAAAGACATTCCTTGGATTTATGGAGCTAAATCGTTCCGGAGAACATCATTTATAACTCGGATCAAGACTTCTCCCAAGAGAAGAAAGTGGACACAAACCCAGACCGAGGGGGTATAAATTGTGGCTCATTTGTCCTCCATCCGTTCATCTTTTTTATGTCAGGGAAGATTGTTTCTGACACCATTCATAATCCTTTGCTCCACGCCCGTCGCACATTGTCAGGGTTTTTTATTTTTTTATTATTTATGTCGTCGTTGATGAATTATGCGGGGGATAAACGGTGCTCTGCCCGACGTGAGCTTCATTCCGGAGGGGAGCGAGGCAGTTCTGCTTCATTCCTTTCTGACCGATTTACTTTTTTTTTTAGATATATATATTTTTTTTTACTCGGCTTGCAGCATGTCGTGGCCTTTGAGGTTTTTTATTATTAAAAAAATGAGGTAAGGAGAAATGATTATTCTGTTCTCGTCCTTGTTGGGGAATGTGTGATTGCGACTCGCTCCGTTTTGCGCCAGTCGACCGAGAGAGTCGATCGTTCTAAAGTATGATATTACGGTATGGTATATGGTATGGTGTATGGTACGGTAATATATTAAGGCGGACCAGAAGAGTCCAGCTGGAAACCGCATTCAATCATGATCAAGTTAAAAGAGGGATTCCTGCAGCTCGGAGATAAGGGCTTCTTCCACTCGTTCCGAGTCGTCTCTTCCCGAATGGGAAAAAGTCGGAGAAGTTGCACGGCGTTGGCATGGCGTTGCATCCGCAAGGGGTTGAAGGGGGGGGCAGGGGGGCAAGGGGGGCAAGGAGGGGGGGGAGGGGATGCTTATTTTTGGGATGCAACTCAGTCGCAAGAAAGGGAGGTAGACGGGAGGGTGTGAAGAGAGCATTGTTAAGCCCGGAAGGGAATCCATCATTCTGTCCGAGTGAAAACTTTTGACACTTTTCTCTTCTTCTCCGCCTTTTCCTCCTCCTCCTCCTCCTTTTCCTCCTTCTCCTCCTTCTCCACCCCCCATGATAGATCGCGCTGTTTTCCCGGCCGATGACATACAACTCCGGCTCTGTTCGCGTCTTCGTCTCGTAATGGGGAGCAGCCTTGGACGGAGGCGAGATTTATGCCCGGTCCCTCGCGAAATTAAAGTCTCTGCGTGGAAACTCGAGAAGGACAAAAAAACGGAGGAAAAAAAAGAGGTTCTCAAGGAAACAAGGAAAGAGAATCCGTTGAAAGAAGGATGTTGGCGGAAATTGGTTCAGGCTGTTGACAAGCGTGAACCGTTCCCGTTCCCAGGAACGGGAACGGTTGGCCTTGGATGATGGGAAATGCTCGGGCCTCGTGCATCGCGATGGCGAAAGAATTGATTTTCAAATTCCCGACTCGACCCTGGGAAACGAATTTCAAGGCCTTTTTGGGCTTTGTTCCCGGGAGGAACGAACTTAAGCAAAGGCGAATTGTAGAATTTTTTTTTTTCCTCTTTTATGGGGACGATTGAGGCGAAATCGTGATGGCATATTGAGTTTCGCACTCTCGACGATGCCCTTTGGGCCTTAAGGATAAAACGACCCCAAGTCCACCCGCCGCGATCGTAAAACGAAATTTCTCGCCTTTTTTTCCTGGATTGCGTGGGAAAAGCAAATCCCGGACTGTTTCCTCGCCATTCCCGAAAAACCGTAAACAAGGAAATTCCCCCATCTATCCAGATGAGCTCCATAAAACCGAAACTGCGGCCTTATCGCTTTTACCTGGAAAATGATGAGAGCCTGCGATAACCCTCAGGGGGGCGTTCACCCTTTAAAAGAAAAAAATCCGCTGGGTGGTCCCCTCCTGGAGCACACCACTTTCAGAGATGGGCTGATAAAAGAGACTTTGTTTTCTGGTTCCACAAATCCCAAAAAAAAGAAACCGTTTATCAGATGGAATGCAAGTGAGCCGTCACAACCGGGGCTTCCGAGATTTTGCCTTCTGATTTTTTTTTCTTTCTTTTACCCCCTTCCTCATCTTTTATCCCCCCCCCCCCCCTGCCCCCCCTGCCCCCCCTCGATACGTTGTCGATCTAACAGGCCATCTTCCTCGGGTGGCCTCCCACGCTATTTTCTTCAGGGCGAACTTTCGATCCTCAGCGGACAGATGGTTCGCAAACGGGTTTGATTTTTTTTTTATGATGTGGGAAGCCTGAAATTCCGGGGAGCTGGAGCCTCATTTGCGCGATATAAAAGAGCTTTTAGGGTAAAGAGCTCTTTCTCTCCCATAGGAGTCCATGGATCGTTAGCTGAAAGAGCTTTCGGGATTCGGGTCGAAATTTTCTCGGCGTGTACTCCTTCGAGGGGAAGACTTGAAGTTCATTTTCTTTGAAAACTGAAACTTTTCTATGCACTAAAATATTCCTGACTTCAGCAAAAAAAATCTCAGTAGAAGAAACGAAATGTCTGAGATCGTATGGGAGGCTTCATCTTCTCTTGAGCCGAGACTCAATATGTTACTAATTCCCTGAAACTGCGACCACCGATTGAAAGCGAAGGAAGACGGGGGTGGGCGAGGGGGGCGAGGGAGGGCAAGGGGGGGCGAGGGGGGTCGAGGGAACAAGATGATGATCGAGAGGGAATAAACTGGGGGATTCCCTCGATGGGGACAAAGTGCGGATGAGGAAATCGGAGGAGAGATTTATAAACTCCGTTTTATTTTAGTTCTTCATCACGGAGGTGTTACAACGCACTTGACGTGTTGATGAAACAATGCTCGAGACTATGATTTATAAACCTTGTTTCCAGCAGCAGTCACTCAATCGGTGCAAGTCGAGTCACCCCAATTACAGGCGCGGACGGTGATGGATCGCTCTGTCTCCAGTTCTCTCCCGTTCCTGCCTGGCCCCTCGATGAATATGCGATCGCCGTCCTAATCGCGGGTTCGATCTGAAACTGGAGTTCCGAATCTGTCATCATCTCGATCTCCTCTGGTGAATAAAGCGGCTACTGTATAACACGAAACGAGAAAAGAGAGGGAAGCTTCCGGGATGATGAGAGACCGCGGGAGGTCCGAGGAGCGGCCGCTAGATGGCAGGAGGTGTACGGCGCGATGACTCGAGGAGAGGCGAAAGGGGTTGGGCTGCGCAGTCTCGAATGCGCTGTCGGACCGGCTGTGGCTCGGCCCCCATTCATCTCTCTCTCTCGCTCAGTCTCCTCTCCCTTCCCTGCCTCTCTCCTCGCCAGTGATTGACAGTTGCGTTTGCGAGTAGAGCCGGACAGGCGCAGATCATGTGTCCGTGATTCGACAGGTCTGCCCTCCTCCTCATGTGAGTGTGATTGCATGCCTATGCGCCGGCGAATTCATCGCAGTGTGGCCGCTGTGCAGGCGAAAACTTTCGACTACTACTGTCCTCGGCCTTCCTCCTCCTGACGCTCGCGCGAATCCAGCCGTAATTTACGACCGGGGGACCCCATCAGAGAAAGAGAACCTTAGCCAGCAAGAGTGGATGGCGCAGCCGAGGGTAAGTATCTCTGCCCTTTCTGTTTCTCTTCGATACCGTACACGACTCTTCTAGCCTACCGTAGGTTCGGCTCTTCTCCGTTGTCCATGTCCATTTGTGATGGAAAAATTCTCTCCGTGATCTCCGTGAACCATAGTACGACGACGGACTGCACGGGTACGGGGCAGTGAGTGCGGCAGCAGCAGCAGCAGCTGCAGCGGCAGCGGCCGCCAGCGGTTGGGGACCAGGACCCGGCGGTGGAAGCTCCGGCGCTGGATCCGTCCTCGGATCGGACGGCGGGCTTTACGATCAGCCCCGGATCCCTGTGTCCATGCCCCCCATGAATCATGTGATGGGCTCTGTGCCCGACGTCCACAAGCGGGACAAAGATGCCATTTACGGGTAAGCCTCCGTCGCTTTCTACCTTGTTTGAGGTTGCTTGCATGTCCAGTTATGTTATCGTAAAATTGTAGGACCAAAGAGCTCCGGTAGGATAAAAGGAGGAGATAAACCGGACAAGTACCGCGTACGCAAGTACCTACAAAGGGACGGGTTCGCAGAATGGATTCCGGAAAGACTCGTAACGGAATGTCTACCGCTCGAGTTTGAGGGGGAAATAACAAAGTAATTTTTTGAGATGTCCACTTCGACACTCCGCTTCGCTAGAATGTATTTTGTGGTGAGATTCCAAGTCGGCATCTGCCCCGATGCATGGGATCTTTTTAGAGGGGCATCTCCATAAATGTCTCGAGAAGCTGCGGAGAAAGTTACGGGAATGGTGGTGTGATGGCACTCCTAGGAGTCTTCGATGAACTCTCGCGAAACTCCCGCGGATCTAATCACCAGGATGGGGAAAACTCATTCGCTCATCAACATTTCTCGTGAGAGGTGTTGAGAGGCGGATGGAAAAAGTCGGGTGCCAAAGTGAGGCACATCTGCTCCTAAAAGTAAAAAAAAAAAAAACGTTTGCCGTGGATTATTTCCTATTCGATCGTGCGGAATCTTGGTCGGTTGCTATTTTTCAGGTTAGGAACTGTTTCTCGACGGAAGGACCTTAAAAGTTATTTTAGAGTAGGAATAAGGGTTTTGATGCAGTTGCGAACTCGTCGCAGTTGACACCCGAGCTGGGTATAATAGCAGCGAAGCGCGGAGTTTCTGCCACCTGCTCCTGACTTTTTTTTCAAGGGTAACCGCTTTTTTATGGGGGAAAATGTCTGCGTGGAAATTGCCGTATTTTGCTGAAAGCCTCATAAAGATTCTCAAGGATCCATGAAGCGGATCGCTTCAGTCGTATTTGCATATTTGACTATCTGGCGAAACCCAGTTCGCTCTGGCTTTCCAGATTCGTTTGAAAGTCCTGGTAAAAACAATCCTAGCCAGTTGCAAAAGTTCTCATTACGATGTCGATGACGAATCGGTTAAGAACTCCGTCTCTAACCATCCGCGAGAGAGGATCTCGGAAATGATTGCGATCTTATTTTTCATCGTCATCGTTTTCATTGATTTTTTTTTAAATCGACGGTTGAATGATGTTGTCCTGTAGCTTTCCGTCACGCTCGTTCTATAAAATTTAACCTTTGAACTCTCCAAGATCTCGGAGGGATCAATGATGATGCAAAGTTCAGAGGAGAATCGGCCATAAGTTTTTCCAGTGGCGTTTGTTCGGGTTTCCGATGGCTAATCGAAGCGATCTGTTGTATCAACTGCGACGATCTCGTAAGGCGTGCAGATAGAAAAGGAAAGCGGTTCGGAAGAGAACCCGTGACGCAGTCACGTGTCAGATTCCATCATGACGATGACGATCTTTCGACGAAACGAAGATTTCTTGAGAAACAACTGTCACTTGTAGCGTAGTTGCATAACGTGAGAAGGCGGTGCGAGGAAAGATTTACATGGAAAAAGTAGAATCTCCGTTTGGACCAGAAGGATATAACTTGTGTGATCTTTCGAATCCCCAAGTTGATAACTGTTAGCTCAGCAAGTCCGTACGCGTGAAAAATTTCGTCGAAAATTGTTGACTTGGGCTGTGGGGAGCATGTAAAAACATTTAGAGAGGTAAGTTATTTTCAGATATGCATGTCCCGAAAATTCGTGCTCATGTGCTCCACGGTTTTTGTTGCCGTGTATACCTTTCTCCAGAGATTTATTGCATTAAATGGCAAAGTTGGCGTCAATTACACTTTTGCTAGCTTCGTTTGCTACTCTTATGTCCGAGTTAATCAAAGAAGGATTTCGTAAGTGTTTTTTTTTTTGCGTTTAGAGTGTCAGTTTGAAGGAATGTGTTTTGCAGTCGATTTGTCACTTCCCTTTTATGATATGTCCAATCGTCCTGCCAGATTTTGAACATTTTTTATAGGGCGACAGACTTGGGATTTATTTCTAGTATACCCCATACTTCTTAAAAGAAGGTGCAGAGAAATGTGCGACTCTAGAAGCGATCCTCGTGCATTTTGTTGCGTCTGGGAGATTTTTGTGACTGATATGTGTTGACTCAGGCCGGCATGGGAAGGGGATCGCTCGGGAAAGGAGCGAGCATGGGGGGAATCTGGCCGACAAATCATGACTTTTCTGTCTGGAGCAGGGGAAGGCGGCATTAGGCATCTCGTGTGATGGATACTCGGGCATTCCTGCCAAATCTATTCTCCGCACCCCATATTTCAGGGGGAAGTGGGAGCGATGACAACGAGCGAGAAATTATGGGAGCCGGTCCCGAGTTAATCACTCGATTTTCATCGAGAGGTTTCGCTCCTCCCGCTCGAGAGTCAGGAGTCAGAACCGATGATGATATAACGTGAATCGTCCTAATGGTGGTTTTCCGTGCTTGTGCCGAAAGTGAGTGGATGATATAAGGGTCTCATTCGTGGACGCGGGACCTCTTAGGTGATCGCTATCTCCACCTTTTTCCCCTCCGTCCTTCGCACACAAAGGGTTATGTTGCATCGAAAGAGGCGTTTTTTTTTTTCTTTAGCGGCACTTCCATCACACAATGAAGGCGCATTCTCATCCTTGCGAGGGGGGGAGAAAAAAAAGTGTCTGTCTTACGGTACGATAGAAGCGGCTTTTGTCCTCGGAATTCGCCTTTCCGTCTCTTCCTGTTTTCCAGGTAGGACAAATGGTACGTCCGCGGCTAACAAATTCATTCACGGTGAAACTCGACTTGACATAGGTCCGTCGTACGTCATCATTATTATGCTGTTAACGCGTACTTTCAGTTATGTAAGACACTGATGGGTTTTCTCGAGTTCCCTCTCGGTTCGTCGCGGTTTCGTTTTCACATTCCCGTTTCGATTTAACTTTTTTCACGAATTTATCTGGCACGTCTTGAAAAGCGTGGCGAAGTGCATTTCGATAACTACAATTTCCTGAAGTCTCGCGTTCCTGTTAGTGGCGGTGGGAAAAAAGGGAAATTCTTGGGTATTTTCTTTTTGTCTTGGAGAAGGGGGGATCGTTGTCAGGGAATCGCCTGAGTGTGACTCCACGGAGCCTCTGTGAAGTCTATAGAAGAGCGACGAATGCAATGGGAGTGCACGAAAGAGAGATAGTTATCGACGGGGTTATTACCGGGCTGCCGGAAAGCATTAACGGGGCATATCATTTCATCGCGCAGCCATGATGATGAAGAATCCACTCCATTATTGGTGTCGTTCCTGGTTCCTCGTCGTTGGTTCAATATCTCCCAAGGAAGACGTGTGTGTCCCTTCCAGTGGAATGAAATGAAACGAAATGCAGGTGATGTGGGCCGGACGGGGACAGCTGCCGATCCATTCATTCACCTGGGCTTCAACCAAAACACTTTGGCCTTTTATCTGCCGGCTTTTTTTTTTCGTCCCTCCCCTCTCCCCCGATTCCATTATGGCCTCTGCTTCCACATAAACCCATTTTCATTCCTACAAACGATCGTAATCGGTCTCTTACTCGAGAGAGAAGTGATTTCCGTCTGTTGGGGGGGGAATCTCTTCGCGGTTGATGGATTTCCATGTGGGAAGGAGAGGGACCCATATCATGGAGCAGGCTCGCTGTCGCAGGAAGAGTGAGCTGCTGACATAATTATCGCTCCCGTAATTAAGGTGCAATTTTGGTTTCACAGTCGTGCAACGTTTACTAGTTCCGTCGCTATAATTATACGCTCGAGACGTTCTTGGGGAAGTGGTGGGAATTTATCGTAGGCCTCCCTCCGTCGTTCTGGGCTTTTTTTTTTCTTTCCCACTTTTCGTCTGGTGTGGAATGTCCCCGGGAAGTAATCCGATCTTCGTCCGGCTCTCAACTGTCCGTGACTGGGAAATTACTTGCTCGGACTTTTTGCAGGGTGCGTCAGTCGTTGAGGCAGACGAGAGAAATGGCAGGAGGGAGAGGACCTTAGGTAATTTCGATCAGGCTAATTAAACCGTGGAACGTCAGACGGGGCTTTTGGAGGTAATGGCTTGTATGACAGCTTCGTATAATGGGCTTGGCATTGGTTGATGTAACATCTCCCTGTCAGTTGGCCGAGGTATAAACCCCTTTTGCCAGCTGCCTGACTCTTCACTTCCCCTTTTTCCTCCCCGGAGCTCTTTATTTTTTTTATCTCTTAAGAGTCCAGGGGTCACCTGAAGAAAATGCTTAGTCATGATCTCGACCGGCCCCCTCTATCTCCCCTTGTTCATCTGGATTGTTTTTCATAATTGCTCCAGTCGCTGCCCTACTCCCCTTTCGATGGGCGTACGGTCGTCTCAACGTGTTAATTTTTAACCCGCGCTGCAACTGCAGTCGTTGCATCGGGTGAATCTAAATGCTAGCACTTTCCTGTTCGCACTGTCTTGATGAGCCCTGGGATTGGGACATTAGCGGGTCCTCGAGGACTCCCTCGAGAATGTCGGTTGAAGAAGAAAAGGGGAAAACGAGAGACAAAAAACATGGGGGGGATGCTGTCGTTGTGACAAGTGGAGTGTTAGCAAGGCTTGACACGGGAATGGATGAGCGCGAGGAGTGTTGCGGTATTGCGGTATTGTATCCTATGGTGGTTCCCTTTTTGCCTTGCAGTCACCCGTTGTTCCCCCTGTTGGCGTTGATCTTCGAGAAGTGCGAGCTGGCCACTTGCACGCCCAGGGAGCCCGGTGTTGCCGGTGGCGACGTCTGTTCATCCGAGTCTTTCAACGAAGACATCTCCGTCTTCTCCAAACAGGTATCACTTCTTTCGTCTTCGTCATTCTCGCCGACCTTGGGAAAAAATCTACTCCTTGCTTTCTAACGTAGAAGCCATATGGGTCCCTTGGTTTTTTTTTTTCTCCTTTCTTACCCCGTTGGGAATCCTCTTGTCACTTCCCTGGCCTATTTTTCACCGTCCCGTCGTGGTTAGTGAACCCATTTGTCTCTTAATGAACATGAGGCCCGAGGAAGAGAGAGAGATGTGCAGGTGCTGCACGAGAGATATCCGAGAGGGAGTCAGGCCGATTAGAGGTATTTGGTCAAGGCTTATCCCCTAACTCCATCGGCATCGGGGGGTTGTTTGCCCCGTAGAGGTATTCAGACCCCCCTAAGACCCCTGGGGGGGTGTCCTCGGACCGAGAGGGGATACCTACACAAAAGCATTTTCGGGGCCTAAGCCGGTTACCATTCTCTCTCAGTGGGGATGCCTCGCTACCCCAGGGGGCCAAAAGGACAACGTCCATGGGCATCGTCGTAAAAAAAAAAATCGAATCCCCCCAACATGGCTGGCCCTCTGTCTCCTGGTGTGTCTCTCTCTTTCTCTGATTGCTTCATATACGGCAGAGATACGGCCAAGGTTGTTTTCTTAGTCTATTGTTTGAACCCGGTTCACGTGAGCTTTTTCCCCCTCGGGGATGAGTCTCTTCAGTGGGACCTGTCACGCGAATCGCGGCCTGGATTTTCATTTCCGCATTTTTTTCTCTCTCCTTATCCTGAATCAATCCAGCGCAGGTCTCATGAGTGATGGCGTGTTATGCTTGGCTACAAAGCGTTTTTTCGCGAATATGATGGAAGTGTGGGAAGAGCGTATCTTTTTGGGCAGAACCGGAGAGACCGATGCCCTTCGCGGGTTCGTGCATTCGGCGCGTGGGTGTGATAATGCACCTTCTTTTCTTTTATCTTCTCGCCTTTTTTTTTTTAACTCAGTCTTCATCATGATTACTTGCATGGCTCTCTGCAGTCACCCGGTGAAAGGGGGACGGGTCTTCCGTCCCCTGGGTCACATGAGACCCCCCGAAATTTACCGGATTCTCGGGGTCTGTCGTCGCCTGTCGGAATTGCAGATGAAAACTGTGAGAAGTCCCATAAATCATATCGCTGTGGGAAAGCACTGTCCCCAGTTACATGACGATTTTCAATGCCTACAGCTTTGCATGTGGGAGGGCGCGAAAGTAGGTGAAGATTTTTTGTGCTGATCAAACAAGGGAATTCGATCTGTTTCCGATGCAGTTGGAGGCCGATAGAGGGGAGAAAAAAAAGATTGCGTTCTTTTTCCTCGTATTTCAGAATGCTGTATGTATGTGTGTGTGGGTGTGTGGATGTGTTTGACAGAGTGGGGAGACGATTTTTTGTCTTGTCTCACACAAGTCGAGACGGCATTCCATTAGTGGCACGGGGGAGGAAGAGGACAGGTACCATTTAATGGACAAGGGCGAGAGGATGACATAATCGCTTTTCGGACAACGTTAATTGAACGTGTACGAGATGATGCGACGACGGAGACAGAGCTTCATAAATCATCTGGCTGGGGTCGCTCCGTCTTTTTTCTCCGGATGTTTATTATACCGGTGTATGGTGATGATGACTGGCAAGGCTTCTTCCTCTTCCCCCTTCCGTTGTCAACTGGAGTGTCCTGTCCACTCTTTTTTTTTTCTTTAATTTTCCTTTGTGTGTGTGTGTATGTGTGTGTGTGTGTCCCATGGAAGAAGGAGGAGGAGGAGGAGGAAAAATAATCGCTGTAGGCGGACTTCTTCCCTGGTTTGCCCTCTTGTCCGCGCTTTCTCGGCCTCCTGTAATCATACGTAATTGCTCTCTCTCTTTTTCTTTTTTCCCTTCCCTCCATTATTGAGGCTTCATGACACTTATCATTTGGAAATTTCGCAGTCGGAATAAGCAGATGCGCCCTGCACTTTGGGTATCACTTTGGCCCCAAGGCCGTCCCTTCGTCTCTCCTCTTCCCTTCATCCCTGACAGGGACCGGGCCGCAATCTCCCCACGATCGCCTCTTGATTTTTATTCCACCGACTTTCAAAAAGACGGGGCCTCACGATGTGGAGTTCCGTCCCAGCTGTTATCACTGCTGTCGCCCGACGTTATCTAAGGGCAAAACACTGCGTCGATTCCGTGGAAATTTAGCATGCTGCCATGTTCTCAGCTCAGGCTTTGTCTTGAGCGAAATTTTCTTCGGAAGTGAAGATTTCAACAGGCCTCACTGGCTTGCCCCATGGCCTCAGCCAGTGAGGCCTAGAGAGCGACGGAAGTGGGAAGCCGCCAACTGTTCTTCCCCTGTCTCCACCACCCCCACAGACTATCCCTTCCATCATCCCCTCTATCCACCACCTGTGTTGAACACGTCCACTGGCGGAAGGTGACTGCTCGATCTCATTCGATCCTCAGTCAGCGCCGCTGTCGCGAGATATGTTCCAGCCGCCTTTTCCACAGCCTTCATTGATAGCATGCCTAGTGTCTATGCTTCCTCCCATGAGATATTTGTTGAAGGGCGGACAGACACTTAAGCCTCTAGTTTACTGCCGTCCAGAAGAGTCGCTCCCCATCCCCTTTTTGTCTCATCTGGAACATGAGTCCCTGACTTCGGGGTTTACGATTCATAAAGTGTAATGAGATAGAAAAAGTGCTTGGGAGGTAACGCGCTGTCCCGGCGACGATCTGCTTGATGGATTCAGCTCCTGTTGATTTTCTTTTATAGCTTAATGGTTTTTCCTCTTTTTCAGATCCGGCAAGAGAAGCCCTACTATCTCCCCAACCCGGAGCTGGATAGTTTAGTGAGTATGAATTTTTCATGCATTTTTCTCTTCCCCTCTGGCTTTGGCGTTCTTTCATCGTGTGGGGGCATTGGTATGCAAATGATCCCCTTCCGAAAGAAAAAACTACCCACTATGCCTTGCATGCCTCAACTTAATGATCAAACTTGTCCCCTTTCATGCGTGTTCTCACCGAATGTGTCTCCTTTTTCTTCTTAACTCCATTGAAGAAAAAATTTGCGAAAGAAACAATTTTTCAGTTTTTTTTTTTACTCTCCTGTCTCTTCGTTATTCCCTATCTCTCTTTCTCTCCCCTGTCCTCTCTCTCGTTCGTTTGTGCATATTCCGTGAGCCAAGTGCAAAAATAATTTGGCAACATCCCAGGGTTCTCTCTCGCATGTGTCGTAAATGGGTTGACGTCCTTCTCCCTCTCAGCTTCTTGCTTCTTCCACCTTTTTTTTCCGCCATCCCGTATTTTGGCTGCCCCGTCTCCAGATCCAGCCCCATAAATAAAGCTGGATTGTTATTCTTCCGAGCAGACGAGTACTTTTCTCTGCAAGGCGTGTCCTATATATCTCAGAGCTGATCATATACAGTAGGCGAGAAGGCGTTGTTCTTATCACCCGGTCCCTGTTAGCTCCAGCAAACTCTGACAAAGACGTGTATGTTGTTGGAGTGCGCTTGATAGACGCAATTGAGAGGACGATAAGCGAGCAAACAGGCGAGATTAGGTGGCGAGATATCACCATCGTCCGTTTTTGCCTTACCATATGCCCATTTTATCGACTGAATACACACGTTCACATTTTATGGGGGACGCCCTTGCTACATGGCCGGTGTCAAAATCCATTGTTCTTTATCTTCATTGGCGGAAGTGGCTTCTATATACCACTCTAGTCTTTTTTTAGTTGAATTTTTTTTTATCAGTTGAAGAGTAGTGATAGAGGGGCTATGAGTGGGTTTTTCAAGTAGCCCCTGCCTCACCCACTTCATGCCCTTGAATCAACGCCCTGATAAGAATTTTTTTTGTAGTCACCGAGTGCCGGTGTGAGTTGGCGACAAACTTTCCGCCTTTCCTCGATTGATTTCGAGATTATTTAGAGAGGATCTCGTGTCTCGGCGATTGTGTTGCCTTGAAGAAGAGAGAGAGGAATCTCTCCGGGGGGATATTTGCACAGTCGGGCCGGCCGTGTGCCAAGATCTCTCCTCGTCTCGTGTGTGTATATGTATGCGAATGTGTGAGTGTGTCTATATACACACATCCAGAAGGGAAGGAGAGGGGTTGCACACGGTGCTTCTTGTCAGTAGACACCCGACCATAATGACGTAACATGGGCCCCCCAAATCTTTCACTACTCAGACTATCAATTTCCAGCAGAGGCTTTTGCCTCTGTCTACTGCCTTTTCTCCCTCATCTGACGGAGATGGGCCGTAACACCAACGCGGGACTGTCATTGTTTAATTTGTGTTCGGAAAGTTGGAATCATTATTCTCGCGTCGGGGCGTTAATAATTCTTCCGTCCCTTGCCGATGAGAGTGCACTCTCGTCGATAAGATTCCTGCCTTTTTCATAATGAATTCTGTCGTAAAATCCACCCACTGTACTTCTTTACGTACATGATTGCCTTTATCGCCTCCATTATACATCACCTCTCTATATAAGGGCTCCGGGGACAGCCGTCGTCTTCTTATCATTTGGACCATAAAATAATCCACTTCCCGTAAATACAATTAGGGAATGAAAACCGAGCATCTCCAAGTTATAAATTCTTCATCCTTGGTATGAAGGAAAAAAAAAGATAAAAAAAACCGGGCTGAATGTGGCTGATGGGACGCTAGTTGCATTTTGAGAGACAGACAGGCGGATATCAGCTTGGAAAGGGACAGATCTGATGGCAAGCATTGAAATTCAGGCATCACCTGTTGGATCGTGATCCTTTGTTGTTCCGATAAAACCCTATGAAACTGGCTAGTAATTGGATTTATCGCGACCTCTTTTTTTTTTCCTTCTCTTTTTTACCTTCTGCTCAGAGAATATCAGGCGGGCAGTCAAATGGGTTTATGTCTCAAAGCGCTCGCGTGCCGACGGGACCTGTCTCATAGCGTAACAAGTCCCATGAATTATTCCGAGCGAAATTCGTCATACCAGGGGGGGGGGGGGAATGGAGAAAGGGGAGAAAAGGAATGAACAGACAGGATGCAAGAGAGAAAAAAAATAAGCCGACAAGTTAATTGGGCATCGGGACACAAAAGAAACTCATGAGACAGACACACCCAGGCCTGCATACTTTGTTTTTGTGTCTCATCATCGCGCAAGGGATATTTTTATTCGCGCTCGTGCATGGAAGCGAGTTTCCCCTCGGGAACAATGCACGTAGCCCTGTAGAAGGAAAGAATCTGAAAGAGGTCCGTCCTCCCATGTTTTATTCATCGGTGCATCCCCATGCAAGTGGGTTTCATTAAGACAAGTCTATGGGTGCATGTGCAAAAGGAAGGGCCAGGACCCTGTAGCATGCTATGGGGGCCTCTCGATGTGCGTGACCTCCACCTTTCTCTGTCTATCGGAGATCATAATCTCCCTGCATGCTCATTTTCCTCCCCTCGTACATTCTTTCGGAATCAAGAGAGGGAACTCGTACGTGGGGATATATTATATATACTAGCCCCTGTCGTGTCGTGTTCGTGTCGCCCTCATATGTCAAACATGACTTCATGAGCCCACTTCTTTTGATTGCCTCTGTCACCCCTCTCATCAGACTTGTGGGGAAAAATGAGCGATCCCCTTTTCTCTGTCACTCTTCCCCCTTTTCCCTTCAGTTCGTTTTTGTTCCGCGTGCTTAGCTGTCAAGCTAAGCTTCATGCATGTGTGTATAATGCAAGGAAATGTTGCATGATTTTGCTTCCTGAAAATATAAAATGCAAGAAGAGCCACATAACGCTTCAACATATCCCTATTTTTTTCTTTTTCAGATGGTTCAAGCCATCCAGGTCCTGAGGTTTCACCTCCTCGAGTTGGAAAAGGTTTGTCATTTTATTTGACCCATTTCCCATGTATCATTCGAGTTCATTTGCTTCCGGGAGCATGTGACGGACATCGATATTCCAGGGATTAAGATAAGGATGCTATCAGGGGAAACCGACTTTGACACATCAATTGCTGCAAATCCGTCGGGGGGAGACATGATGAAAGGGAGTCAAGTTACCGGCGTTTGTTGCGTAATGGCCCTGGCAGGATTTCTCTCCCTCTATTCACGGCTTTGTCGACCCATTGCTCATTTCCCTTCATGCACGGGTTCATGCGATTGGATTATGGAAATGCAAGCTCGGCCTGTGCCATGATTGACAAGGCAGAAAGAACCCCCCCCTCTCGGTTCGTTTTGCTTTGCGCCAGAGGAACATATAAAAGAAACAAAATAATGAGCTGTTGAATGGTGCTGACAGCGACATTAAAGGTTGGCAGGGGCTTGAAAAACCTTTTAGGTGATGAGATTGATACTCAGAGGTTTCAGCACGCTCCGGTTCACGCTCTCATTCTTTTTCCCCGTCTGTCTCAGTGTGTCTGGTGACGGAAATAGAGGAATGGTCCGGGTCATCCATGTGTGTGTGAGTGTGTGTGTATGTTCATCCCCCCCCCCTTTGAAAACATGTCCGGAACAGCTGACTCCGCCCCTGCCAAAACCATCCGCGACTGTCGCTGAAGATGGGAATGGACATTCCCATTGCATTGCAGCTTCTCACACACGCGTGTCTGTCTCCATGCATGTCTACACGGGGATCCTGTTGGTAGGAACCGGTCATCCAAGCTCGGACCAGTAGGCCCCGAGGGGAGGAAAAGTTCTTCGACATCAATGGACGCTCCTGCAGGGGACACTGGAATCGTGTATCTGTCCCTCGCTATTAATGTTGCCTCTCTTATGTTTTCTCGGTCTAGTCCCTTTGTGGGCGTTAATTGTCTTTATTTCTCGGGGCGTGGAACAGCAGGACTATGTGGAGGTCCCTGTGTTGTTGCGTAAGAGGAAAAGAGGGATTAGGCGTTTTCCTCGGCCCCCCTCGTGCCGGGACTAGGGACGCAGCGATCAAAACAAGCCGAGATATGAAACGGACAATGGGGATGGACCTTTTTTTTTTTCTTTCCTTTTCCTTTCCTTCAATGGCCAGGGGAGGGAGTGGTGGGACGAACATTAGCATTTCCATAATGGAATGATGGCGGACGGAATTTCAAATATTCCTCTTTCTCTCTTCCGGCCAACAACATCCCCATCACGGCTCGATGAAGTACACGGAGACCGAGCTAGATCAGAGCGCCCTCTGCTTCTGAGCAAAGCGTGCCGTTAATCCGCCCCGTCTGTGTGGCCGGGAAATTTACAAGCAGTATATCAAATGAGAAAGATAGTTTGCAGCTACTTTATTGCATCACAAGTACAAAAGAGCCACTTTATTGCGCTAATTTCAGGATTTATGGTCGCCTCGAATGCCGAAGGCTATCTGTGGTCTGTTTGATCATCTGGGAAGAGGGCATGCTATTTTTCCTCCCCCCTCCCTCCTCCCATGTTTTTTTTTTCTCTTTTTACTTCCCTTGTTTATCTCACTTTATCTCGTGGTCGTCGTGACCTCAATCGAATCTGGTTGACCCTGGTCTTCCTCATGTGAATCATTCCAATCTGTACGAACCTTCCTTGCAGGTCCACGAGCTGTGTGACAATTTTTGTCACCGGTACATCAGCTGCCTGAAGGGAAAGATGCCGATCGACCTGGTGATTGACGAACGAGACGGGAGCAAGCCGGAATTGGGGGACTCGAACAACAACAGCAGTGGCGGTGGGGGGCTGGGGGGCTCTCACCCGCACCACCGCTCTAGTGTCGACACCACAACCCATGATTCTGCCTCCACCCCGGACCCTGTGAGTCTCCCGCATGAGATTCCTACCACCCAGGAGATAATTGACGATACAGGTCGATAGGACTGGATTTTCCTTTAGAGAATTTTATTGTGGTACCTATCCAGACCTAAAAAGTTGTCGCAGAGAAGGAAAAATTTTTAATTTGGAGTTTCTTTGCAGCTTTTTTTGCAGTTTCTTGGTTCACACAGCTCTAGAAACCTTGGGAAAGTCATGCATGAGTCTAAGAGTCAAGAATATTTAAGAAATTACCCAAACTTCATAAAAGTCGGGAAAAGGTCACTGAAATATTCCACGACTTTCACTCTCCCTGAAGTTGAAGAATTTGGGGAAGGTAGCGTTTATTACGAATATGAAAGTATTGACTGAAAAAGTTCTTCCAAAAAGGAACTGGAAAACCTGGAAAGGTATGGGAAATTTCAATTTCCTCAGGAACTTTAAGGTATGGGAAGAGAGGCTCCTGTCATACACCATACTACATGCATTCCTGACTCGCTCAGTCGCGTCTGAAGAGAGGAGTAGCTTCTTTGAGCTGGACGACCTTCACGTGACGCAAGCACATAAAAACTTGAATCCTCGGGCCCTCCGGGCGTAAGAAAAAAAGAAAGAAATATAAGGATAGGAACAACTACTCTCTACCTTTCCTTCTCGGTCACCTCCGATCACGAACACGTCATGCTCAATGCCATAACAGAGATATGTCTGTATGCGTGTGTTGGGCGTTTTCAAAGTGTAAAGAAGGGTCGTGTTTGGATTGCAGGTTGTCCCGTGGGAGGGGGGGAAGGATATCATAATGAATACTCGATGGACAAGTTCCTCTATCTCTCATCCATCTGGAAGAATGAGCGCCGTTTAATTGCCGAACTGACTGTTGACCTGCCCCATCCAGTTGGTAAACCTTGTCATTAGAGACCCCACGATTAGCATGCTCTCTCCTTCTCTCCCTCGTTGAAAGGAATCCGTAATGGATAAAAAAAAAAGAAGAAAGTTCGCTTTGTCATTGGAAACGAGTGTCCCGTGTTATTAGGGGGGAGTGGAGCATTAATATTAGCCGAAGGTGGTGTAATGACGTGCAAGTGTGTGTTCGTTGTGGCCATCCCATCCGTCATAGTTGTGTATGCCATGCTGCCATTATGGCGAGCCATGCTGTCTGCTCCTACTTTTCCCCACTTCCTACTCTCCAATGCTCCATCTTATCCCTTCCACTTCCGTACTGAAGTACACTGAAGTACTTGCGTACTTCACGCCACTCAAGTTCTCAAACACGGTTTTTCCGTACCGTGTGGATCTGGCGAGTCGCGAGTCGAGGGGAGGTTTGTGATAAGGCAGGTCAGGGAGTGTTTGCTGGAATGTAGGCCTCGAGGAGGTCCAAGAAAAGGAATTTGGGAAGAGTCGGAGAGAGAGAGAGAGAGAGAGAGATGTGCCCTTGGGGCACATGAAGAGCGACGGGGGGTGCTCCGTCTAATCGCCTTCCTCACTCCCTCGGCCTCAGCCTCACAGGCTAGAATGCCCAGATAACGATTTCAGCGGCCCTCGGTCAGGTTTATAGGTAGTTGACAGGGGTGCTTGATTTCGCGTGAGTCCGCCATGAACTCGAATTGAAGGTCGGGCCAGCCACGTGAAACTGAAGGCTTTCGATCCGTCCATCAAGAAAATTGCTTCAGCGTCGTCGCCCCGGGCTATCCTGCCTCATTTCCATTCTCACTCCCCGTATCAGCGGTGCTTCTCAGGAAAAAGAAGAGGAATAGAACAAGAAAGAGAAAGAAAAAAAATAATAATTCCTCATAATGGGTCTTCCTGTCGATGCGGTTTCAATGATCTCAACGCCCAAGGCTAGGGACTTTTCTTTGTTCCTTGCTCTTGGCCCTGTCCCTGACGTCTCAGACGGGTCATTAGGGTTCGAGATAATCCGATGAAGGAGGGAGACCTTGTTGGAGCTGTCATGTCATGTCAGGTCAGCAGGGGGCATCGCCATGGGGGGTCGGGAGGGGAAAAGAGAGAAGAAGAAGAAGAAAAGAAAGGTATTTTCAGGACGAGGAATCCAAAGCAGCATGGCTCCTCTATTGTTTGACGTTGGGGAGTCAAAATAGCCCAAGCAGCCAATTACGGGGTCAGGGTTGTGTGGGAGACAGACAAGGAAAAAAAAGGAAAGAAAATAAGAAGAAGGGGGTATATGGCATGGCTCTAGGGATTCGGTGTGAGAGGGCCTCGGGGAGGGGTCGGCTGTTTTGCGGGTGCTGATAACTCAAATTGCCTGGCTGATGGAGACGGAAAAGACAGGAGGAACTGCCTTAACGCTCCTTTTTTTTCTCCCCCTCCTGCCCCAGACTGAGACTGACTGCATGCAACGACAGCGTAGCACATGTTTCTGTCTGCTCCTGTCTTCATCTCCAACGTCCATGTTCGCCGTACTGTATATGAAAAAAAAATTCCCATAGGGTGGGGGAAATTTTCCGACGGTGTGAATGAATGGTCCGCATGAAAATGGCGGGGATCTATGAAAAGAGCACTTTATTCAATCTCTCGCCCTGGCTGGCTTTGAAAAACAGACTTGAAACGGTCGACTTTTTGTAGGAGCTGGGGAGAGGTTCGGCTTGAAAAACATCAAGGGGAGATGTAATTGTGTGTGAATGGCTTGGGGTCCTGACGGATCCCTGTCAATACATGCTTCCCTTTCAGCCTGCATTCCCTCGTCCTTCCTTCCCTGGCCCCTGTGGGGAATAGGCCGTATATAGTCAGTTGCCTTTCCTGTTCCCATCGTCTGGCTCTTCCCCTGATGCCATTTGTGGGGGTTCTTCCAGTGTCTTTATGGCGGGAAACGCCATGGACATGGGGTGAGCTTTTTACTACTGAGGTCAAGGCATATGGCTGGACACTTGGGGAGAGCCTTATCTTTCGACGGTGACAGTCTCGCACGCTGATGGTCTTCGATTATACGTATCCTCCGCCTTATTTGAATATCGTCTCGTGAATATTGTTTTGCGTGAAGCGCAGCACGCTTAGGGGCGGGCTCCCGTTATTTGCTCATGGGGGTCTCATGCCAAGGGAGGAATGTGCTGACCAATCTGCTCTCCCGTGGCAGAGGCGTGACTCAGGACATGTGTTTTCTATATCCTCCCTCTTACTACTGCTTCCTTCCACCCCTGCTGGTTTGAAAAGCGGAAGAGGGACTAGGGGAAAAAAGGCAAGGACATGGACACCATCAAGAACTGATCCCCCTGGAAAATCCCTCTTGATCCCAAGGCCGGAAACGAGGAACACTCTGTCCCTTCCCTGCTTTTTTTTATTTATTATACCAGACCATGGAATATTCGACAAGAGGGGGGTCCTCTCTTCCATGGACTCCCTATCTAATCGGGAGCAACCCTAGAGAAGACGACTGAAGGAGATGGGCTATTCTGGGCCCTTGCAGTGCGTGCGTCTCTCTCTATTTCTCTCCCTCCGCGCTCTCTTCCCTTTCTGACGATGTCAGGCACAACTGACGCTCCATTATGAGGAGTAAAGCCATCCCATCAGACTCAACTGAGGAGGAAGGGCTTCCCAGAGCTTCACCCTTGGTTCGCATATACCCCGTAGGTATAGTATGGAAAACGCGTGCATTCTAATTGGGGAGCATTGTGTCTGAGCCGTGCAACGTGCATGTGTTTGGCACCCTTTATTCCTTTTTTTGCTTTCATATTCCTTTCTTTTCTTTCTCTCTCTCAGGCATTCATTACGCCACGCACCGATCCGGGATTACAGACCATCTCGATAATTGCTTGCTAAACATTGATTACAAGCAACGTGTGCGATATCCCCCCCTCCCTTGGCCTGGGATTTATTCCGGGACAAAGCTTTCGGCTCCCCCTTTCGCATTTGAATGACAACCGTGGCACCAACCGCACTCTTGTGTTTGCCCATGGGAAGCCGATGAAGGCCCCCCTCTTTTTTTTTTCTTTTTCCTCGCCCGATTCTGCAGAACAATGCAGAATCTTGCATCCCCTGCTGAAACCCAGCACGTGACATTTCATTGGCAGGCTTGCCTCCCCCCTCCTAGCATTGCATGCTGGGGTATTCATTGAACTCATCCGCCTACTATGACGGGGGGTTTTTTTCCATCAGGGGCATGGCAATTGGGGGGATGGACTGTGGAGAAAGAAGTGATGTGTACTGGGGAATGGGCTAGGGGAGGACGTTGAGTGAGCTCATTTCTCACCTCGATGGCCTCTTATCCACCACGTGGACATCAATTATTTCCCCAAAAACACTGTAATAGAATGCAAGGCTGTATTTCAATTTAACGTGTGCTTCGTGATGAATGGGCGATCCTTTTTCCTCGGTACACGGAGCCCATGTCAGCAAGAGCTACCCACCGTCCATACATCAAACGGGTAACTGGACAATCATGCTTCCACGGTTTTCCAAACCTTTTCGTGGAGGAAAAAAAATAGAGAGAGAGAGATCTGTGTTCTTTCGTATGCTAATGAAGATCATCCTTTCCTGCCAGCATGGGATTAGCGCCGTATAAAAGCCCTTAAAAAATTTCTTGGGAATTTCGTCCATGGAGGTATGAGAGGAGTCAGGTGGATACAGGATGCCTCTCCCTTTTTTTCCCTTCTCTTACGGCCTCTTTTTTTGGGTCTTTTTTTTTTTTTTCTTCACGGAGGGTTGGATCGTCTTTTCACCCCCGGTGGGTTGTGAGGAGGGCCCCCGGTTCGTTTAATGGGATCTCTTCCCTGCAATATTTTATTCCCTTTCTTTTCATTCCTTGACGTAGAGGCAAGTGCATCGCATTCAAGTTGGAAAGAAGGGGAATTTTTTTTTTCCTTCCTCCTGCTTCTTCCTTGGTCGTTGTCGTTCCTTTCAGGCGTTCCTTCACGGAGCCATTGGCCGGCATTCAGAAATTTCTGGAGTTGCTCTCGACTAACGACATTCACCGTCTTTCCTTGGTCTTGGCGAGGGGAACATGCTTGCCATTTTTGCTCCGTCTGAACAGCATTTCTTCTCCTCTCTCTTGCATTCCCACATTCCTGACACAGAAGTCCTTGAGCCGCCGTCACTACTATCATTGGGCTCATCTTCCGAAGGAGAAAAGAGAGAGTAATTCCTTCTGTCTGTGCACGTCCAATATATAGATGTGCTTAGGCACACCCTGAAACCTTACGATGATGGTATTGTTTCAATCCAAAGTTTTTTTCATCGCCTTCGGTTATCAGGGGGAGTCATCGCATCCCCGAGACACGAAAAGAACATTAGTGTCTCATGCCTCCTGACAATCTGGCGGCCTCTCGCTCATCATCCTTGACTTATATCCACACACACATACACAGATGCACATAGGCACAGACGCAGACAGACAGACACAGAGGAGAGAGGGTAGGAGAGGGAGATGGATCCATTGCAAAGTCATCGGCGAAATGGGGTTCCTGGATCCCCGGACTCGAAGCCAGCGGAAGCATAGACCCATCCGCGTGTCATTAGCAAGGGGGGCCATCATTAGCAAGGAACCCGAGGACACCGGACGTTACCATCATCAAACTCACTGGCCTTTTCATGTCAAAACGACCAGGGGGTCGTGCTTTCATTCACTTCCTACATACACACATACACACCCTGTCACTCTGACTTCATATGAAAATCGTATGGTTGAGGATTCAAAATGGGATGGGCATCCTATCATTTTCGAAGTTACTCATGAAGAAATTATGACCTTACATTGTTTCTTTTTTGCGGATGGGAATTTTTTCGTGACGCGTGCTGAGTCTGCCCCGCAGTTAGAGGGCGAGGAATATACGCTCATGGAATGCCAATAGTTGCAGTGTCATCAAGAGGCTTTTATATGGATACTCTCTGCCTGTATGGTCTGGGGGGTTGATCCCCATCCGTAATCCTTTCCTCTGTCAATTGAGAGGGGAAGAGATAAATATATACAGGGAGGGAGGTATAAGAGCAGTGTCGGTGTCTAAAGCCGGCCCCAAGATGACAGACACGGAACAACTGGGAGGGTATAGTGGGGCCCCTGTCTGCTGTGCTCTGTGCTTCACTAGAGATGCAAGTCATGCCGGTTGTCGCTTAGGGGATGAGTTCCATGGATGACTGGGCTTCTACATTCTATTCCCTTCCCCCCCCCCCCCCCCCTCGCCTCTCTGTTCAGAGAGACCTTTTGCCGAATTTGTGGCTCACTGACACCCTATTGTGTCGGGTCGCTTTCCCAATTAACGTAGTATTCTCCGAATCTGCCTCTTGCATACAAAGCCAGCAGGCAGGCAGGCAGGCGGACAGGAAAGGGAGTGGAGGGGGACCTTTCTCTTGATTTTTTCCTCCTTTTTTTTCGGGAGTCGTTTTCCCCTCCCCTTTATGATGGCGAGGGTGCTATCGTTCCTTTTTACGACGACGCCTTGGCGTAATGTAGTAAATCCCGGTGACAACTACTCGGTGAGACAGGTAGACAAAGCGGAGCCTGGGCCTCGTCCTCGGGATCTAACGCCATAAACCGGCCCCTGTCACCCTATGATTATCTTCATTTCCGAGTGATTTAGTGCGATTTGGATGCTGGCATGTTAGCCATTAAGTGACGACACTCCCGTCGTCAATCTGACCTCTCGACCATTTCCCTTTCCTTCCTTTTCTCCCTCTCCCTCGAATTGGCTCCTGGCCATCGCACCTCTTTGTCCCTCTACACATTCGATCCAGCTCATTGGGCGCAGTTTTCATGGATCATATTCTATGCTAACGTTGATTGCAATTTTATCGCCGTGAAATATTAATTTTGCTTGAATCGGTTTTTCATTGCTCATGGGTGATGCAATTTTAAAAATTCCGCAGAACAGAAGTAACCCCCATTTGTATGATATATTGTATCTCTGACAGGTGAATGTGATGATGCTTCGTTCGTTGTCAAAAGATATGGAAACCGACAAGTGATAATGCTGGTTACAGGATGTAGTTGGAGTCATGTAGAGTAGCAGTAGGCAAGAGACATCTAGCGTTGGGAGTGGGTATTAAGAGGGCAATGCGACTCATTGCCGCCAGAGGGGGATCTCGGTCGGCTCTCTCTCTCTCTCTCTCTGTCTATCCCCAGGGCTTGCTTGAATGCTTCTTCCCTTCCCTTCATTTCCCAACTCGAAATTTATGGCGTCTCTGTAATTTATGAGCGAACTGCAAATGAAATCATTTGCATTATGGCAGCCCCTGCCACCACAAATATTGATTTATTTAGCAGGTTTTTAATAGGAACGGCTGACCCGGGCGTTATCGCTCGATACCTGCTCCCTCGCCTATTATGAATACCAAATCCCCCTCTCGGCATCGTAATTATCGAGCTGGCGTTAATTTCCTTGGCTGTGGCACCTTCGTGATTTGTAATACATATGCGAAGAGAGAGTAGAAAGAAAGAGAAAGAGCGGCTCCTCTCTGATGGTTCATTTGCTTGTACTTTGTGTGCCGGGTAATGGGATTCGGATAGGGTCGTTGCAAGGGAAGAAGAAAGCCTGCATGCCCGGCCTCTGGAATGTATCCCATGCCTTCCAGGGTTTCTTTCTCAATAGCATGTTTTTATTACTTTTCGATGCCGCGTTGCTCATACTTGGAGGCCATCGGAACTAAGGAAACCCAGTTTGTCGGTTCTCTCCCCCTAAACTGCACCTCATCCTTTCCGGGAATGTTCCCCTCATCTGTTTCTGTTTAGTTTTGGTGTCTGGCCTTCATCAGCTCCGCTGTCTCGTCTCGTTCATACTCGGTTTTGCATGGGAATTTCGAACAGGCTGGGAGTGAGTTAAGAGGAAGGTGCACCACGGTCTCGTCAATCCTTAGCAATTATAAAGCATCTGTATACAATCTTTTACTCGTCGTTGATTTTATTAGTTTGCATTGGAATATTTTCTTCACGCTAGGTTGGTTTTCTGGTCCTCAAAGGGGGATATCCGCTTGCAGTCTCAGTCAGGATCAGAATTACCGTGAAAAGCCTATGCTATATTCATCGCACCAATAAGACGAGCTGATCAGATCGTAAGATCTATCTCATCAACACTGCCTGCCATCTTTTACTGGAGGCTTCCATCTGCCACGTGTCACATTGACGACATTTATAAACCGTCATTTGTTACGAGACCAATTGCGTCTAGACTCGATGAACCTTAGGGAGCATGACTACGAGCTGATGCTGAACATAATATAAATAAAAACTAAAAACTCCAAACTGTAAAGTATTGCTCGATTGAATTTTTAAGCGACATGAACTTCATTTATATTCCCTGTGACAACAAAGAACAAAACAAAAATTCAGGATATTTTATCACGAAAAAAATGTTTTCCAATAAAATTTTTTTCCAATCTTGAAGCTGAAATTAATCAAATGTGATCATTAGGATTTGAAGGAAAGAAAAAAGAGCAAAAATTAAAGGTTTTCTGAATGTTGTTTGTGCAGAGGCCGCCGTCATCGTCATTATCTTACACGGGACCGGGAAATGAGGATGTCCGGTCGCCAGGGTCAGGTGGAACGCCAGGTCCTCTCAGTCATCAACCAGGTTCCCAACACAGCCTCGACAACATCTCCGAAGCCGGTCAGTCTCTCTTCCGCTCTCTTTTCTTTGTAGTGTAGTTGCCGAAGACATTATCCGAGTGCCCGAGAAGATATTTGCTGATGCACGTACCGCCTGTAATACCGTTTTTTCCTTATTTGCCCATAGAACACAATCATGCATAGAATCAGTCTTTCCCTTCTTATAAGTCACACTTTCAGTAATTCAGAAATATAATATTTTAGTTTTAGGATTTATCCGTTGATACATATCTTACTTAAAGGTTGGTCTTACTTACTCATGTAGTTGATCACAGAATTTTACGTGCAACGCCCTGTACAAAAGGTACTGCATAAGTACCAATATCTGCAAGCAAAAGCCTTTGTGGTACTGATACCAACGGTTTTGCAAGCATTGTCTGATGCTCTCGCCAAAATTATTTTCGGTTTATTGGTAGTTTTGAGTTGTCCTTTTCCAATAGACAGTAGATTGCTATAATTTCCCTGCGTTCTGTCGTAGGGAATGAGAGGGAGAAGTAGACTTTCGTATGACGCAATGAAATTCTATGGGTCGCAGAAGTCTAAAAAAAATCCCACCTAAAAGGCGCTCAACAGTGAAAAATGCTGTAATTAAAGCTCGCTAATAGCTCTGCCTGGAGGCAACCAGCACCGAAAGAGTTTCCATGTGCATGGGTGAATGAAAATTTGTCATTGTTGTGGCGGGAGATGGCAGGGACAGTAACCTACCTGTAGAATAGTATCCGCGAGGGATTCAGACTGACCGAGTCCTATTTAAGTCTTGCAAGATGCCTAGACCTCGATTATTCCTGGAATATCTAAGGAAGGGAAGAAGGAAGAGGGGGATCTTCCATTTGCTCCATACTTTCCAGCTGCAATCGATGCAGATAGGGGGAGGCAAATCCTAATGGGTCTCCTGAGCAATACAGAATTACTCATTCGGACTAATCCCAAAGAGATTCATTCCGTTCCGATCTACCCTATCGAGGCCGAGCGCACATATATTACAACTTCGACCCTCCCTGACGAACAACAAAGGAAAAGGCGTCAACCTTATCGGAAATAAAAAAGAAATAATAATGCCCTTCTTGTGTTTCGCGTAGTCCCTGCATCTCGAGCTTTGTATCTCAATCCAAGTACCTTACTCGTAAGATCATCAAATAACGGCATATTGTTCACGAATCATTATGCTTTGATATGATCGATGGTGGAGATGATGAACGCGAAAGCAAAGAGGTTTTTTCTGATAGCTAGGGATAACACCAGGGATAACTCCCTAATCATACAACTGAATACATTAGAGGGGTTGTGGGTGACGTCATGTTGGAATAAAAAAAAACAATGTAGAAAACCTGTGGTGTTATCGTGTCCTCGATAAGGAGAGTTTGAATTCGAATCCCTTTCTCCGATATTAAATGAATGTGCTTGCAACATTCCCTCTATATCCAAGATTTTCCGGGGGTTAGCTGGAAACCCTCTACTTGAGACCAGGTTTCCTTATGGTTAGGGGGAAAGCAGGCCGGCAGGAATAACAGGTCTCTTTGTTATGGGAAGGGAAGGAATGGATGGATAGGGAACAGTTATATCCGCATCTCTGGCGACGATGGAAGAGGTGCATTGAGGAACCCAAAGCTGCTAATTGCTTTTCCTTGATGAAATTAGAGCTCGAGGAAATGGGTTCCATGTAGGCTACATTCATCTCATGGCACGGCATTCCTCTGCACATCACCATGCAAATTTGAGGCAAGTAGATTATGCAAAGCAGTTTTTGCGGCAGGGCCTCCAATGAGAATTACGAGATTAAACTGGGTTTTAGACACTTCCGCCTTGATGCTCGGGACTTCCTCAATATTGATGCAGTACATATTTAGAAATAGGAATTAAATATGTATTTACAGCACCAGCTGTTTTTTCTTCTGGACAGTTTCCAGTTATTCCAGATTCCTTTCATTTCCAGCTCCTGTCACATGATTAATACCAGACCTCATTATTTTCTTATGCCTTCTCATCGCGTTCCGTCCACTTAGAAGAGGAATTTTGCGAACTTAGGGGCCAGTCTGGATTCTTTCATCTAGGTATTTGCTCTGCTGGCATTCATAACAAGTGGAGTTTTACTCATTCCCCAAGTATTTGTACTCTTATGTTGGAGGGATTACAGAGTGATTGCGTTTCTAGGCGAATGTGTCGATGCCTAATTCGACGACTCTGGTCGCCTTGCCAGGCGTCTGGTTTCATAAACATGGCATGTGGGTTCCCTCCTTCGCGTCTGCGCCCCAATTTCCCCTGCTCGGATAAATAAAAAAAAACTTCATAAGAAAAAAAAAGAGGGGAGAAAAGGTCTGTCGTATGGTGAGGGGAAAGAACAACAAACGCGGGAGGCTTCTGTCCTGGCAGGCATTCAGTGGGGCATGGAGAGGTTCCCATTTTGCACAAAGGGATTTGGTAATCGCCTTGCTCATGTTATAGCAAACGGGGAGGGAGAGAGAGAGAAGCTAATCCTATCAGGACGCAGAAAAGAAAGAGAGAATGGCATTGTGTCTCAGTTTTTCCGCTCTGTTGTCGATGCAACACGACCATCAAAACCTCGCTTTTCTGGATCGCTGATTCCTGTCACCTCGGCACGACTTCTCCCTTCTATTTTTCTTCTTTCGCCGACGAGGGCATTCGTATGTCATGATGACAATTCCATATACCTGACGGTTTTCTGAAGATAGCATCTGAATGGTTCAAATCGCGGCCGTGCTGTTGTATCACACTTGTATTGTGGCACTTAGGGGTTCTTGAAAGGGGTTTATTTATGTCTGAAAACAAAACTCGGGGCTGCACTTGTGGAACTGGGGGGGGGAAAGGTTTATGAACCGGAACAGGAAGGAGGAAAGGAGGGGCAAAGAAGACGATCATCACCCAAATGGAGGACATAGATCTCATGGGTGCTAAGAGGCACGTGTTTTCTTCAGACGGAGAAGAGGCAGGAAAGAAGCAGGCACTGGAAAAGGGGAGGGGTGTGTAGCCGTGTATTTGTAACAGGGATTTGAAATTGACCAGGCCAGGCAGGCACGCTGAGAGATGTCTACCGCACAATTGAGAGAGTAAACAAACATTTCGCCCGCCTACAACTCCACACTGCCATTCCACCGAAAAATATGACCTCTCCCATGTTTTCCTTGGCTCTCTCTTTCGCCTCCCCTTCCCTCTATTCCTCCTTCCCCGTTTTTGGGATCCCGGAGAGTGAGGTGAGAGAGAGAGTCAGAGAGAGAAAGAAATAGAGAGAGAAAGAAAGATTTCTCACCATCAATGTTGAGTGACTGCTCTGAACAAACTCGTGTCACATTCGCCTCCTTATAACGATTTCCTCTATTGTTTCTTTCCAAGATGTGTTGGGGAGGCGCTCGGCGGAATTTAGTGAGTTTTTCTCTATCTCCTCCCTGGATTCGCACAGTTCTGCTGCAGGTTTGTCTAAATTGTAATCAAGATAATGACACTGCCCCGTGCAGAAATCTTGATCCCAGGAGCCAGGAGGGATCAAATTTCAGCATGAGGATGTGTACATTATTTTTGTTTTGCATCAAGTGCCTTTTTCAAATTTGCGTTTAAACTCGACTTGGTATATTATGCCGGGTTTGTCCATCCCCATTCCGCCAAGACTGCTTTCCTCCCAACGCGTCTGTTCCATTCTACCTACTTCATCACTTCACTTTTACAGTGTTTTTCAAGTGCTTGAAATCGTAATAACCGAGGTACTTCGCCTTCGCCTAAATATTTAAAGAGAGCAATTGAATTACTCAATTTTAGTCGTTGAAAACTTACTTTTCTATTTTTCCATCTATGCTCTCCTCAGGGTTGACTGTTATGGCGAATATTTTTTATTCCCCTGCAAGCGATCCTCAACAACTCAACCGCAGTGACTGGAGTGATGAGTGATGAGATGAGTCGGGTGCTGAAATTTTTTTTTTCTGTTGCACTGAACTTAGGAAATCGTAGGCAGATGTGGTTGAACTACGAAGTAATGAGAATAGTAGTTTAAACTGTATTTTTTTTATTTAGTAATACTTAATTAGGAAATTTATCTAGCAATAATAATTTTTTTAATTAGCTGTGGAAACATCATTTTATATACTTTGATTATAAAAATCGAACAATACTGGCCTTATCCATCGTGTCCTAGATCTCAGACTAAGTTTCATTAAGTTTTACTACTATCTTGGTAAGACACCACTCATCTCACCTCACTTCATTTACGCTTTTTTGACCGAGTTTCTTTAAACTAACCTATGCAGAGAAAACATGAATCGTCTGGGTTTGAAAAGAAATTACGGCCGTTGTTACTTCCTCTTTGTCGTCTTGTCAAGGAAGGAACCCGAGGAAGTCAGAAAAATGACCGTACCAAAAAAAAAGGTAGAGATATCGAAAAGAAATAGAAAAAAAGATTAAGTATTGTTATGCTTCCATAGGGAACACGATCGTTACGGGGACAGTCCAGGTGGCAAATGGAACCATATCTTCAAGTGCAACGGGAGTCGGCAGATAAGATGAAGGCCCTCAACTTTGACAAAAATTAAATGGCTCTTAGGAGATTATTCATAAGAGTACTCTTCGACGAACAGCAGTTTTATTGCCGCGGATCTTGTTGGAAACTAGCTAAAATGCCGGGAAAGAATTCAACTTGCATCCAAAAGTTTATGGCACGATAAGGGGCTATTTCGCGTTCAGGGTTATGAGGTGCGAGAGTTTAGAAATAGAATATGGGAGGGCAGCATTTTCGATGCATTTTCTATGCGAGGCAGTGAAATCTTTTCTTTGTTTCACCCTTTCTCGAATACCTTTCTTCCATTTTCTCTCTCTCTTCCCCTCCTTATCTATTTGCATAGTCATTTCCTTGCAGGTATCTCTTGGGGCATATAATAGCCGGTCACCTGAGCCTGGCAGGGAGTTCACGGCTCTTAATTGCCCTTTAGGGCCTTTGAATATTTCAAACCTGGCAAATGGGTCCTTGTTCCCCCTGAATGCCTTCCCGCATATGAACTCCCTCATCAGAGGGAAACACTAGGCTCATTATCCCCGTCGAAATGGCAAAAGACACTTGAATGCCGTATTATCTCCGATCCGAGAAGCCCGGGGGACAATGGAATCCCTCTCGTCCCTTTGTGGCGACTGTCACATCATGAAAGAAACGGCACGGGAGAGCCGGCAGGATCCATAAAAAGTGATGCTAGGAGTTCAGAGGAGTACGTAAACGTTCATAGCTGCAATGAATGGTGTCACACGCTGCGTTTTTTCTCTACTTCGTGGTCCCCTTCTGTTTCTCCGTGCTCCGTTAAGATTTACAAACCGGAACGAACGCGGCGGATAAGTACGCCGACTAGTACTTGAATGCATTGCGGTGATACATTGTTGCCAATTTCCATTTACGATTCGTTCCCTCTGTCGTTATCCGTGCGCCCGGTCGAGTTTCTATTCTGATTTCATCCGCGATGAAGCCACGAAGAAGAGATAATGAAGGGGACATCTGAGAGGACAGGGTAATTCATTTTAGTGAGGGGGAAAGTCCGGTGTAGGATGAAAGGACTAACAACGTCGAGGTGTCGATACATGTCATTTGGAATGATCAATGACCAGAGGGTTCAGTTTGGCACGTCCGTGTATGTGTGTGTCATGAGACACATGCAGGTGGATCTACCAGGATGTCATTTCATTACCATTGGGATTAAAAGCTGCTATTAGAGGGCCGGCCCCGAAGAAAATTGTATGGGTACCCGTCGGGTTATTCATCATCTTTTACAGTGGCCAAATAACAGACCTGTCCAAAGCGTGAGCCGAGGTGTCCTCTGTATCACCGCCATATCAAACGGTGCCGACTCAGTGGTTACCCAGCCCTCTACGTGATCACTCCTCCGTCTCTACTGCAGCTCCCATATCGCCCAACACCGAGTTTTTTTTCTCTAATTTTTTACGCGGGGTCATTACGGAAAAAAAGAGCTTGAGTGTCACGTTGTGTTACGGTGTCCGTAAGTACCTTATTTGGTGACAGTGATGGAGGGATTCGGCTCGGAAATGTGTCGTGTCGGCGGTCGGACTCTCGTCAATTACACCTTTCGGCTCGGTTTCTTTTTTCTTTTTCTCTCATCATCCGTTTCTTTCCTTTCTTCTTTCTTTCTATGGAGAGGTACAAGTCTGTGCGTCCTGGCTTGGCTCCATGCTATGCAGCTCTTCATGCATTGTTGGTTTCCTCGTCGCTCCAGGAGACATGCAAGTGTTCGTTATGCCAGAGCTGTTCGATACGGGAGCGTGGCGTCCATAATATCGCTTCAGGGTAAAGAAAAAAGAAAAAAAAAAGAGGAAATGGGATGGATCCAAACGTGCCCCGCGGTTCCAGGGACAATTTCGGCTCCGGGAAAACTGACAGTTACATGAGCCACCCGTTAATTACTCTTCCATCAATCGCTTCAGGCCCCGGGGGGATATCTAGGGATAGCAAAGAGAGAGGAAAAAAAACTTATATCCTCGGTCCATGCACACCATGCATTATTGAAGGGCAGGTTCATTAAAACTAATGTTTTCTCTCTCTTCCCGCCCGCGTCCCCGAAAGTGTATTAGGTGCTATTGAACAGGGGAACCCATTTCGTGTTTGTGGTGCGGGGGATTCTAGTAGATGTCAGAAGGGTGGGAAGAGGGCAGCGGTGCGTACCTGACATCTAGTGATTATCGAAGGGAATTCACGCAATGAAGGGATAATGGCGTCCCTCCAATGAAAGGGGAGGAAAGCACCATGATTCCGCATGTATGTCTCCCTGTCACCGATGTTGACGACATATTCACACCGCACAGGATGAGTTTGATACCGTTCGGGTCATGGGATGATGATTACCATGACGACCTCCCGCAATCGGAATCACGGCGGACAAATGAGTTTCTCCCTCTACGTGACCGCTTAAACTGTAATGCGTGTCGTGGACGTGTCTTGGAAACTTCGATTGCGTCGTGATGAGCCGAGGAAGGGGGGGGAAGCAGCCAGAATGAACGAACATCATTATTCCATGGAATCTTCCATGCCTAATATCCCCGGAGTCTTAGTCCGCCGGGCTCGCGTTGGTTTTAGGGACTTTAATTCAGGATGGATTCTCATAAGGAAGGCTCATTTGTCATTGAAGAGGGAAGTTCTATTCCTTTCCTTATCCCCCCTTTGGGGACTGCATAGAGAGGCTTTCTAATCATGGGGGGATTCATTCGCATGGATATTGGACTAGCGAAGCATACACACACATAGGGACATATGTGCAGCACGTTGATGCTCGGGATTTCTCTGCCGATTCGTCAATGTCTGGGCCTTGTTTCCCCGTGGGAAGAGCAACGGTGTGGAAAATGAATGGATGTGAAATCCCCCTTCAACTCGTATTTCTCTCTCCCCTCATATTCTTGTGCAAGGGAATCTCTCTTGCCCTAAATGAAAGACGCCCGAAATGCATCATTTTCTCAGGAAGACTCCTTTTTGATGGAGGGACGACGCTGAATATGTGAAAAGAAGAGTATTATAGTAGATGAAGGAATGATATAAAGTAGCCGGTCTGCTCAGGATGATGAAAGATCACGCCTTTGCCTCGGTCGAGGAGGAAGGAAAAACCTCCATGGCTCATAGCCTGTGAGTTATTGGGCCGAGAGCAATTGGAAGTCGTTAAATGGAGGGAAAGGTCATTCATCTCCCGTGACCTGATATCAGGGCCTGGCCTTACACCATTTAGATAGACTTGCAGCTCACAAAGCTTGCCCGGGAGAATGAATTCCCGCAGAGCCTCATGGGCCGTAAGCCCAAAGGGCCTAATGGATTGGAGATAGGAGAGAGAGAAAGAGAAAGAGGAACACACTCCAATTATTCTTCCATCTCATTTGTCTCTGTTGGTCCAATGATTCCGTTTCCAATCGGAGGGAGCGTGGCCAGAATTCCCTCCCCCCTTTCGCGATCATCATCAGGAATCTCCATCTTCCTCATCATCCATTTTCGCCATGACCTCGAAT